TATGGTCTTAATTGGGTTAAAAGTATGGGTTACGAAGTAGGTCGAACCTCCAAGTAACCCTTTAACCCTTTAACCCTTTAACCCTTTAACCCTAGACCCCTAGACCCTAGACCCTAGACCCTAGACCCTAGACCCTAGACCCTAGACCCTAGACCCTAGACCCTAAACCCTAAACCCTAAACCCTAAACCCTAAACCCAAGGCCCCGACCTGAGCCAAAGTTCCTTGGTAGACCCCTCCGAAGAGGTCGGTTCCCACTGGCAGGATTCCCTCCAGCTTCTTCTCCCAATAGCTCCTCCGATTTTTGGTCGGAAAAAAGGGGTTCGGGCGTAGCCTATACTTCGGGGTTAGCGGTTTTGGGTTTCAGGTTTTGGGTTTAGGGTTTAGGGGCCAGGGGGCTGGGTGCTCTTCGGAATTCCCGGAGCATCCCGGACCCCACAAGCGAGTCTCCTGTCGGTGCGGTACTGTGTGGACCTGGCAACGCCCAACACATACGCCCGGCGGCGTGAGCACGAGTGCACACACACACACGTACAAAAGTACACACACACGTACACACGCGTAGTACACACATGTACACACGCGTACACACCGTACAGGCGTACACACATGTACACACACGTACACACCTGTACACGCACGTACACACATGTACACACACGTACACACACGTAGACACACGTACACACACTTGTACACACACGTTTGTACACTTGCACGCTTGACCACACTTGCGCACACACACACACACACCCACACCCACGCGCACACGCACACGCACACGCACACGCACACGCACACGCAGATACACACGTGCGAGCACGCACGCACACAACCACACACTCTGCCGGCGCTGGTTGTTCTGCTGATCCCCAGGCCTCAAGTATTGGGCCTCGTGCTCAACGTACACGGCATATGGCAGCATCTCCTGCGCAGCCACGTGGAGACATGCATGAAACATGCCGTGAAGACCTGGTCCAACTTGTGCAGCTGCTGCCGGACTCGAACTTGCGTTTGCATTCTGCTTGAAACATCATGTGTGGGTACCAGGATGGGCTATTATACTCTATAGTCCCCTAAAAGGCCCTTTATGGGGTTCATTATAGAGATTACAATTGCCTAATAGCCCATCCTGTTACGACTTTTGAACTTGATTTAGCGTTCCCTAAACCCGGAACCCCCAAATGTTGATCTGGCGTTTCGTAGCCGGGGGCGGGGGAGGGGCTTTAAGGCTTCGGGGTTTCAGACATTCAAACATGTGGGAGTTTCAGAAGCCTGGCTGGGGGCGAGGTGCCAATCATCGCAATCTAAAAGAAAACGTTCCCTACCTTTTCTTGGATCCCTAGCCAAAACTATTATCTTAGCTGTTTTTTCGGAATTGAAGTACCCAAGAATGTTTTTCCAAGTATCCCTAAGCGAGAATACCCTGTTCCACGGGCAGGCCTCTTTAAAAAAGATCAACGGGCGCACGGGCCCACGGGCCTGTGGCGTCGGCAGCGCGCCGGCCAGGCCCACACGGTCATAGTAGGAGTGCAGAATCCTAGGTCTGATGAAACCCACAGCTTGGCTGACTTCTGACTTCCCCTCCTAAAAGTTTAACTTCTAGAATCATTATTGTAGCTTCTGCAGAAACCCAAAAGGTTAAAGTCCTAAGAGCCAGCCAGAAGAAAGCCAAGAAAGGATGTCACAGAGAAGCCACTGCCCTGAAACATCGAGTGCCACAGTAAACAGGACGTTACGGTCCCTGTTCAGGGTGCAGCGCTTCGAGGTTCAGGGTGCTTAGCAACCTAATTCGAACCGTACTTGTACCCCAATTCTAGTCCTGTTAGGGTACTTAAGGGGGTTATCGGTACAGTTACAATTGGGTTACTAAGTCCCCTGAACCTCCAAGTAAAGCCTAAATTAAACCGTTGCACCTTGGGTCTAGATTCCCCTCCGAGATCTTCCGAGATGGCCAATCAAAAGACGCCACCATTATACACCCCCGGTACCCACAACAGCAGCTTTCAGGTTTGGGTTAGAGTCTAGGGTTTGGGGTTTAGGGTTTAGGGTTTTAAGGTCTCGTCGCAGTTGGGTCATCCCCATCTCAGCGAGTTCACCAGCACTGGTGGGTTTAGGGTTTAGGGTTTAGGGTTTAGGGTTTAGGGTTTAGGGTTTAGGGTTTAGGGTCTAGGGTCTAAGGTTTAGGGTTTAGGGTTTAGGGTTTAGGGGTTAGGGGTTAGGGTTTGGTATTTAGGGTTTAGGGTTGAGATACCAAAAAGACACTAAAAGAAATCAGCTGCCTCTACACTTGGTTCAGGCTACTTAGTAACCAATTAGAAGTGCAGTCATAAGTTAGAACCCACTTATAAGCCCTTAAGTACACTAATAGGGCTAACATTTGGGCTTTAGTACAGTTATAACTGGGTGACTAAGTACCCTGAACCTCCAAGTAAGGGCCCATGGCTCCAACCCTAAACCCTAAACCTTAAACCCTAAACCATAGGCCGCCCGCGCCAGGCGGCGGCCGGTACAACTGAACGCTACCGCTTCGAGATCTGCTTGCTTTGCCAAGCAAATCGAGCTTGCCACACCTGATGCATCCCTGCTAGCCATAGGGCACAATGTAATAATGGATTAACCCTAAACCCCTGACGCGCCACCCCGGCGGGGGGAGGTCGGGCCCTAAGAAGCCCCTACGCCCCCGCCGTAGCCCCCGCCAGGGTTCCCCCCCGCAAGGGTTGCCCCTGCCAAGTTGCCCTCGCTCGCGGTTGCCCCCGCCAGGGTTGCCCCCACCTGACAGGCAACCCACCAGGGTTGCCCCGCAGGGTTGAGGGTTGGTGGCCCCCACCAGGGTTGCCCCCGCAGGGTAGCCCCCACCAGGGTAGCCCCCACCAGGGTAGCCCCCACCAGGGTAGCCCCCGCCAGGGTTGCCCCCGCCAGGGTTGCCTCGCGAGGGTTGCCGCCACCAGGGTTTCCGCCGCAAAATTTGCCCCACCAGGGTGAGTTGCCCCGCAGGGTTTCCCTACTAACAAAAACCCCTAAAAAACAAGTGGTTCTTAAGTGACAGACTTGCCAGCGTAACAGTGACAGAATTGCCCCCGCCAGGGTTGCCCCCGCCAGGGTTGCCCCCACCAGGGTTGCCCCCGCCAGGGTTGCCCCCGCCAGGGTTGCCAGGGTGGCCCCCACCAGTCAGAGTAACCCTACTCAAAAAAAAGCCCTCTTAAGTGACAGGGTTGCCAGAGTGACAGTGACCGGGTTGCCCCTGCCAGGGTTGCCCCCGCCAGGGTTGCCCCCGCCAGGGCCAGTACCCCCCCCCCCCCCCCCCAGGGTTGCCCCCGCCACTTGAAGGTTCATGCTACAAACGAACCACTGATAACTGTACTTATAACCCTACTTATAATACCTCTAAGAGTTTTTTGGGGGTTATCCCAATGATAAGTAAGGGTTATAAGCCCAGTTATAAGTGGTTCTTAAGTCCCATGAACCTCCAAGCAGGTTGCCCCCGCCCGAGCTGCCCCCGCCAGGGTTGGCCGCCAGGTTTGCCCCCGCCGGGATTGCCCACCAGCGTTGCCCCCGCCAGGTTGCCCCTGCCAGGGCCCCGCAGGGTGCAGGGTTGCCCCCGCCAAGGTTGCCCCCGCCAGGGTTGCCCCTGCCAGGGTTGCCCCCGCCAGGCTTGCCCTCGCCAGGGTTGCCCCAATATTGCCCGCATGAGGGTTGCCCTCAGTTGTCCCCGCCAGGGTTGCAGGGTTGCCCTGGCAAGGTTGCCCTGGCAGGGTTGCCCTGGCAGGGTTGCCCCCGCCAGGGTTGCCCCCCGCCATGGCTTAGCTATGGGCTTGAGGGTGTTTTAAACACAGCACGGATGAAACAGCTTGTCCCGATCCAGGAAAGTGTAGGCTCAAGCAGCAGCAGCAGCAGCAGCAGCAGCAGCAGCAGCAGCAGCAGCAGCAGCAGCAGCAGCAGCAGCAGCAGCAGCAGCAGCAGCAGCAGCAGCAGCAGCAGCAGCAGCAGCAGCAGCAGCAGCAGCAGCAGCAGCAGCAGAGCAGCAGCAGCAGCAGCAGCAGCAGCAGCAGCAGCAGCAGCAGCAGCAGCAGCAGCAGCAGCAGCAGCAGCAGCAGCAGCAGCAGCAGCAGCAGCAGCAGCAGCAGCAGCAGCAGCAGCAGCAGCAGCAGCAGCAGCAGCAGCAGCAGCAGCAGCAGCAGCAGCAGCAGCAGCAGCAGCAGCAGCAGCAGCAGCAGCATACCTCCCATCCCGGCCATCGGGGAGAGTCGAGGTGAAAGCCCACTTGGGGTTAGACCGCTCTAAACCCGAAAAAGGCGGTAGTTTGGGTGGCTGGGGTGGGATCCGCTGCACCGAGGCGGCCCGACCCGCCACCACTCCCTGGCGGGTCGGGACTGCGGCACTTCGGAACACCCTAAACCCTAAACCCTAAACCCTAAACCCTGAACCCTAAATGCTAAACCCTTTGATCTACACATGATCCAGGACTCAGCTTCAGCAGCGCGGTGTAGCTGCCGCCATCCTCAAGCCTTGGGGGGGGCCAACTGAACTGAAGCATGGAGTTTAGGGTTTAGGGCTTAGGGTTTAGGGTTTAGGGTATAGGGACACAGAAGGCATTCATGGCCAGGTTGGGGGGGAATGGGTGGGAGGGCGGGGGCAACAATGGCAGAAGATGGGACGAATGAAGAGAAAGCATTGGGTATAGAAGAAGAGGAAGAAGAAACCCTAAACCCTAAACCCTAAACCCTAAACCCTAAACCCTAAACCCTAAACCCTAAACCTGTAGCGTGCGGCCGAGCCAAGGAGCATGTGGCTGGCCACCATCTTCAAGCCAACCCGCCCGCTGTCGAAGCGGATGATCGCGACCCGACGAGGGATCCGGTCTGCACCCGGTTTGAGGTCAAACCTGGCAGCTGAGAGGCGAAAGCAAACAGTGTGAGTGGCTTGCGTGGTACTAAACCCTAACCCCTAACCCTTCTAAACACTAAACCCGAAACCCTAAACCCTAAACCCTAAACCGGATCAACGACTGCAGCCTGTCCAGCCAGGAGGCGGCTGGTTGTGAAACTGCATCAGGAAGCGCGCCTCCTCACCGGAGACCTTGAAAGGTAGGTTTTGCGCGAGCTTCTCGCTGCCCACTTGTTTCGAGACCTCCAATCCGCACGTGTCCGGGAATACTTGAAGCGGCACTTCGTCGCGGGAGAGACCCGTGTAGGTCACCCGCATGAAATCCCGGGCTGCACTGTTGATTCCTGGCCGCCGCGCAAGACAGTGCGAGAAAACGCAGCTGTGGGAGTGGCGAGAAAGAACCATGTTGCTAAGGGCTACAAAGACATGGTGGCAAGAATGCTGCATGACCTTGCAAGCAAAGCATGAACCCTAAACCCTAAACCCTAAACCCCATAACCCTATAACCCTATACCCCACACGCACGGGCAAAAAGCTGCAAAGTCGCCATCACCGCAGTGAAGGTGGAGCTTGCTCCAGTACTTGACGCCAATGTCCTGGATAACCTCCTGAAGACTCTTGACGTCCACGTCCTCCTCCTGACCAGCATGGGCTATTAGGCCTTATGATCCCCATCATGAACCTTATAAGGGCCTTTATAATCGCCCATCCTGGTACCCTTAAACAGGCCTTTTATGGGGTTGATTATGGGGTTTTAAGGTTTAGGGTTTAGGGTAAAGAAAGATGGGGTTTATAAGGCCTAAATCGCCCCTCCTGGGAAGGCAACGGCATCGGGCTTACGAGCTCAAGTCACTGGCTTGTGGCTTGGCTTGCTATCAAGCCTCCGAGGAGCCATGAGGCCTTATAATCCCCATAATGAACCCTACAAAGGGCCTTTTCAAGGATTCTAGGGTATAGTAGCATAATGAACCCTATAAAGGGCCTTTTCAGGGATTCTAGGGTATAGTAGCATAATGAACCCTATAAAGGGCCTTTTCAGGGATTCTAGGGTGTAATAGCCCCATCCTGGAAGATGTACATTACGGCGCAGTTGGAGATGCTGGTACCCGGAGCTGCAGCGTCCGCGCAGAGGAAAGCAAACTGCGACTGCGTCATTGGTAACGTGCTGCTCACGGGCGAGCGAGGGGCAGCGTCTTGGCTGGTCCTTAAGCAGGACAAAGGGAAGAACAGGAGGGTCAGGGTCTAGGGGGTTGGGGGTTTAGGGTTTAGGGCGGCTATTCTGGCACTACTTCTGGCGTGAGAGCCTGCATCTTGAGGGACCTCGGACCTCTGACCTCAGGACCTCCTTGGCACAGCCCAGCTGCTGCATCGCACGTGCACCATGACGGGATGCAAGCAGACTCCTGGACCGGAGACTACTTTGCAAGCTGCGAAAGAACATGGCGGGCATTGTGACGATGTGGGGGATGTCGGAGCCAAAAAAACTTGCGGCATGTTGTTGTGGAATCGGTACAAACGACTAACCCCCCGCAGACGCTAAACCGTCGAACCAAAGTTGAAAAAACCCGAAACCCTTAATCCAAAAACCTCTTAACTAAGCCCTCAACCCCCAAACCCTGAAACCCGAATGACTTACAGCCATGCTTTGTGCGACTGATCGACAAGTTCAGAAAGAATGAGAAACCCTAAGCAATAACCCTAAACCCTAAACCCTAAACCCTCAACCCTCTAAACCCTAGACCCTAAATCAAATTGCGGGGCACCCCGGTAGCCGAGTAACCATATGGCCTTAAGGGCACCCTTGTTGGGGTTGGTTATTTTAAAAGGCAACCTTGAACTAAACAACGGGAAAAGGGCCCTAAACCCTAAACCCTAAGCCCTAAGCCCTAAACCCTAAACCAGTGGGCTACCACAGCACATATCCCTCCTGCGAGCCCCTGCCCTCCACCTCTAGCGACCGAGTCCCCAACACGATCAGCCGACAACTCGACCAATGCGGTTAGGGTTTAGGGTTTAGGGTTTAGGGTTTAGGGTTTAGGGTTTAGGGTTTAGGGTTTAGGGTTTAGGGTTTAGGGTTTAGGGTTCAGGTTTCAGGGTTTAGGTTTAGGACCAACACGGACCAGAACACGCTTTCGCCCAAATCTCTGACCGTAGCACTATGACTTCATATATGGTGATTTCTCGAGGTTCTCTTTTCGGGTCCTTATTCTAGGGCGACCCGTATAATATTTAAGGGTACCCTATAACATGGACGATCATCTAGAGAACGGGCCATAATGCCGTTCTGTAAATTCTTGAGCGACTTCGGCACGAAACACATCACAACACCACTTCGAGGTTCAGGGTACCTGAGCTATAGACTAGCTGTACTTATAGACCATTTGTAACCCCTTTTGGGTACTTAAGGGGCTGTTGAGTGGGTTATAAGGACAATGATAGTCGGTTACTAAGTACCCTGAACCTCCAAGCACTGCATTGGCAGCACAAAATCACATGCTGTTGGCATGGGAAAAATGAACGCATCGGGCAGCGAGCCAGCATCAACGTGACCCTGCTTTGATTAGTTTATTTGGTCCGCCCTGCCCCCCCCCCCCCCCTTTAATACCCCTGCTTTTTCAAAGTTAATCGTGATGTCATTGACAAGAACAAAATGACACCCACGACACGCCCTTAACAGCCCTCCAGAATATTTATATATATATATATATGTATATGTATATATATATATATATACACATGTTAGCTCGGAATCTGCACGCTCACATGAACCCTAAACCCTAAAGTCACTCTACACTGCAAACTTGTGCACCTTACTCCTCTGCCCATGCATTGGAAAAGCACTCCGTGCCCTTGTGGCGGAAAAGGCAAAGTCTAGAACCAAAGCAGTTCGCCAGATTGGCCCCTTTGGGGGTTTAGGATTTAGGGTTCAGCGTGGTGATACGGAGGCCTCCAAAAAACATCGGCGTACACCAAGAAGGGGGACAATGTGGAGAACTGCCCAAGGCAAACTTAGACTTAGAGACCAAAATCCCAAGACCTTAACCTTAAAAGACCCAAGCACGGAAGGGTTAGGCTTCAGGGTTTTTGGGGTGCACCCTAGACCCTAAACCCTACAAACCCTAAACCCCAAACCCTTGACTAAAACCTTGCGGTCATCATTGATTCATCTCCCACCAACTCCGGCGGGACCCCCTCCGACTCTGGCTCAAAGGCAGCCCTGTCTTCCTGGGTTGCGCGGTAGCCTAAGAAGAACATGGAGGTGGTGCACGGGATATGTGGCAGAAATTCTAAACATGCAGAAGGCAAGAAAACTTTCTCCCCCAAACCCGTCCAAGACTTTCGCCCCCAAAACTCCGGACATGAACCCGTCACAAGAACTGTAATTAAACCCAAAACCCTGAACCCAAAACCCGAAACCCTACATCCTTAACCCTAAACCCTAAACCCCTCCTAGCTTCGCCTCGCTCTGGGGGGACTTCCTGGTGCTTGACGACTCGGCGTCCTTGCCAAAAGATGGCAACCTGGTTTGGGGTTTTTCGGGTTTAGGGTTGAGGGCTTAGGGCTTAAGGCTTAAGCATGTTTAGGATGTGTGGAAAAAACGTGCTTTGTGTAGAAACAGGTTCCCTGGCCATTACATGCGCACTACGGGAGATCAAAGATTTCAAACACTAAGCCCAAAAGAGAGCTCAGCAACGGTGACGCCCAGTGCGGCTGGGCCCCGAATCTGAAGGCGGCCCCGGGGATTGCAACTAGCTGCCCACAAGGACCACTGGCTTGGGACCCTCCCCAAACCCCCCCAAAACTCCCCAAACCCCAAACCGCAACCCCCCCCCCCCCCAAAAAAAACCCCAAAACCTCCAACCCAAACAGGTCGAGCCACGCGGGTCGGAAGCAGGCCGCAGTAGTCAGGAGGCCACAAAGTGCCTCGGGGGGGGATCTCCTCGCAAACCTGCATAGATCAGGAGAGGGGGTTTAGGGTTTAGGGTTTAGGGTTTAGGGTTTCGGGTTATTTTGTCTTGGGTCCGCTCCTTGGCATCTTGAAGCCTGGCTTTTGTGTGCCCGCCTCCGCCCGCGCCTGGCAAGGCAGCAACCAAAAACCGCCATCTTCCAAACGGGTTTAGGTTTGGGTTTAGGGTTTAGGGTTTAGGGTTTAGGGTTTAGGGTTTAGGGTTTAGGGTTTAGGGTTTAGGGTTTAGGGTTTAGGGTTTAGGGTTTAGGGTTTAGGGTTTAGGTTTTAGGGTTTAGGGTTTAGGGTTTAGGGTTGAGGGTTGAGGGTTGAGGGTTGAAGGGTACAGAGTTTAGGGTTTAGGGTCTGGGGTTTAGGCTGCCAAAACACTGGGATCCGTGGCAGGGCGGCAGCTGGGATTCCGACAAGCCATGCCACCAGAAACACTGGCGAAAATCGGAAAACTGGAACTTGCCGAAGCCACGTCATGGGCGAATCAGGCAGCTTCTTCTGGGCAATGGCTGCGGACGCGACATGGACGCCGTGCGTTCCTGCACATGCCCCACTTGCAGCACCATGCTTGCGTTAACGCGACACACAGCCTCGAGTTTTCTGCCCACACTCTTGTGTGTGTGTGCCTGTGTGTCTCTATCATGTCTGGCACTGAGAGAAACAAGGGGCCCCCCGACCCGAGTGCTCCTGACGCACTTGGAGACGACGAAGCACAACTCAACAGTGGCTGGGTTGAAAAGGGGTGGAAGGAGACTTTAGGTACTTTTGTTGTATATATATAGCCGGGCGCGGGATTTAAGACGTCCCTTGGTTTTAAATTAAAAAAGAGAGGTTTCTGGTGTTTGAAGGCGATTTTTTTTCCGGAATCGGGTGTTTACCATAAGATCAGGTGGTTAGGCTGAATATGTAGGCCCCGCGCCCGGCATAGGTGGGTTTGGTAAGTCTTAAGTGCCGTGTCGCTGGTCAGTTGTTTGGATTTCAGGGGTTGGAGTGTCATTGGATTGAACTAGGCTTGCAAGTGTGAGGCTCAAGGCCCAGTGTTTCGACCATACTAAATGATCAGCATCGCAACATATCACACATCATCATCTTCAATGGTGTGAAGCTGCTGTCGGAGAAATGAGCGAAGAACCCAGGGGCGTCTTAAATATTCGGCCATATTAAAGAGCTCAAGAAGAGGTAATTTGGGAGGTTTTAGTAATGAAAGCCTAATGAAAAGCAACAGCGAGGCTTTGTCGGAGCAGAATCTGTCTTGAGTCTCTAAGGAACCCGATTCAGACGGCAAATACAAGAAAAACTACACTTCGTAGACAGTCACAGGGAAATAAGGGGCGTCTTGAATCCCGCGCCCGCCTATATATATATATATATCTGTATGTATATATATATATATATATATATTATATGTATGTGTCTTTGATATCATTTTTGTTTGTGTGTGGGGGAGAAGGGGGGGCGAGCTCTTGCCGTGGCTTATTCACAGAACGGATCTCTTCACTTTAGTAGGACAGCTCTGGTTTCTTGCATTTTAATCCGAAAACCTATCGAGTCGCTTTGAGGAGATCTCTATTTTCTGCGTATTGAAACCGGAAGACCGTAGTTTCATGAGAGAATTTCCCCGGGTTTAGGGCGATAGGCTAATGCTCGTGCTTTGGCACTACCCAGAGCTCAGTACTTAGTAGCCCGCAAGTTGAAATGTAGTGCTTAAACTAGGATGGCGCTTAAAAACCCTTTGAAACATATTCCTGAGTATGATCCTCTTAAACCCAATAAGGGAAAATACAAAATGTCCCAAGGGACTACCAAGCAAACATGCTTTGACTTCATCTTATCCACACATGGGTCTTGCCGATGGGAGGCGCAACATATTCGCGACAAGTCAAGCGAAAGCCCGCATATGAGATGTGAATATGAAAGAACTTCGACCCGCCATCTTCGAAGCAAAGGAGTATGAAAGCAGAAACTTCCAAGAACAGTATTTAACCTCACCACCCTAAACCCTACACCCTATAAACGCCCCAACCCTAAACCCTAAACCCTAAACCCTAAACCCTAAACCCTATGAAGACTGGCGTCTGCCCCATCCGGGTCTTCCGTCTGCAGAAAGTAGGGGTAGAACTTCGCGGGTGCGTCCAGAAGGTCCGTGGAGACACGCGTGATCAAAGCCAAGAGCTCCTGGGTCGGGGGTGTTAGGGTTTAGGGTTTAGGGTTTAGGGTGTAGGGTGCAGGGTTTAGGGTTTAGGGTGTAGGGTTTGAATTCTAGGGTCTACCAGCAGCCCCCAACTACCCTTTTGCCACAATAGTAGGGTACATAAGCTCCCTGAAACAAAGTAGTTGGGGGTGTGCAGGTAGGGTTGAAAATTTAGGGCTTAAGGATTGTAGGACTGCTGCTCGCCAACTTGTCCTAGCCAAAGGCCTTGTTGGAGCTGGTAGCAAAAACCTGGCACCCCCAAACGCGCCCCCCCCCCCCCCATCATTATTTATGGTTTTTG